CAATTGGGATCAATTGTGAGTGGTACTCTAGACTCTAGTCTCGCGTCCGTACATCAAACCCAAGGAATTGATACTAGTAGAAGTGGGTGTTTTGCATGAATTGACTTTTTCCGTGACATGACATTCTCTTCTTTCTTGGAAGCGGGCGAGGGCGAGGGTGAGGGTGAGAGCGTGGGTGTGGGTGTGGACGTGGACGTGGGCGTGGGCGAGAAATTATGGAAGATGGCATTATTAATGAATATGTCATTTGGACGCTGTTGATTGGTTGGATTCGCTCGAAATATGGGGCTGTCGGAGAAAGACTTGATCAATTTGAGTCGTGTTGGAAGAGAAAATCGGAGATAGGCGAGCATAAATGACTCGAAAAGACATTTATGTCGAATTAGTGAAAGTTGGTGAAGGTGGGTGAACATTAGTGAAATGATAATAACCCTACCTAGAATGAGGGGTCTGAGGGGTGTATGTAGTGAATTGGGTGTATTTTTGGTATATTTATCTAAGTACACGGGATAGAAATTAGACGAGGTAAGAAGAAACCAAAATAAAGTAAGCCAGCTCGAGGCCAGGTAGGTGGGATTTCATGGCACCTGGGCATTCATCATGTCATGGGATAAAAGTTATGCACGGAGGAGGTAGGCACATAGGCACGGAGAAGGTACCTACCTAGGTAGGCACGTGGATACGGTAAGTACTTAACCACCGCGAGCCACTTGAGCAAGGTGGAGTGCAATAAAGGTTGTCTGGATACCGCCTTCCCATTACAACAGGCAGAATGATTTGGACCGATTCCCCAGAAGTATAAAAGATTAAAAATGGATACCTAGACCCTCAGGCACTAATTTGGGTGTAATGGGAGCAGACCGGTTGCAGGAATCACGGAGATAATGACGGCGTAATCCCCTCCCTCTTTTGAGTCCCTTGAGTCCCTTGAGTCCCTTGAGTCCCTTTTTCCCCTTCCCTGGGAAAATGCGACTCTGGAAGACTGGGATAAATGAGCTCATATATATATGCCTACCTACTAGGTAGTATTCCTGGTAGATTTCTCGCATCAAGGATGATCAACGGCTATTAATAATCCATTAGGCGGTTTACCCGCTGTTTGGGTAGAGAGCCGAGAGAGCACGAGTCGGTATGTAACGGCGGAGTCGAGAAACATGTGATGACTGGCTTGACTGGCTTGACTGGCTTGACTCGCTCCACCCACTGGGCCAGATTACGGGTATCTAGCCTTACACACACGGAGAAGAACATCAAACGAGTGATCTCGGCGCAGTGGAGAGTCTTTCATTTAGACTTTCCGTTATCCTGGGATTTTCCTTACCGCACACTTTCAACCCGACCCTCAACAGTGGCTCGAGAATGAGCAAGATGGGTCCGCGACAAGGATCGGCGCCAGTACTGGAAATTGAAGCAAGGGAAGAAAAAAAGGTTTGAAGAGAACGAACTCCTTCATGAGTTCCGCCGATGTTTATCAACAAGTGAAAATCCAATCAAGACCAGCCAGTGCGCAAATCAATGCTTCTTCAACAACCCATTTCCGGTTACATCGTCGGCTTGCCCTGCCATCTGCCATATGTTTCTCCGCCTCGAATCCGCACACTTACACAAAGTAGGTAAGAAAACACTAAGAGGCTTGCGTACCGTTGCTTCAATCGGAAGCCAGTGAGATTATTGAAAAGCTTTGAACTCTGTACTCCGTCGGTGGTAACCCATTTTGTCAAGAACCGCATACACCGTTGTGGCCAATATACTATTCAAATTTGCAGGGCACATTCTAGTTACTAGGTTTGTTGAAATCAGTTTCATACTTCTTTCTACCTTTTCCCGGTTCCTCTTCTTCAATGTCCACTCTCTTTTTATTAGCTTCTTTATCTTTGTCTTAGCCTTATCCAAACTCCTTCATCATGACGGCTGCGGAGCATGAAACCGTTGACAAATTACCCTTCACTGCTGTGGCCGCCCCAGATTCTTATCAAAGCGCTGAAGATAGAACAGCTGGGACTGAAATAGGTAGTGCGCTATCAAATCACGTCTTTCATGCACATCAAAAGGATACAGGACCACCTGCGACAAAGAAGGAACTGTGGTCGTATTATGCATACTATGCAGGAAATAATGGAATCAGCTCTTTTCAATAGTAAGTTTGACTGGTCCATCCATCCATCTTGTACATCCACCCCTCGATCTCATGCGATTACTAACACCAGTTGATCTTCAGCTCGAGTCTTCTCTTCCAGAACTTGATATACCAAGCCGGTTTTAACCCAAACGTCTTGCCATTGGGTAGCGCACCTTGCGGCGATGATACCCCTTGCCATGTCTTCTGGAATGGAGGCACAAAAGCATACACATCGGTGGTGTTGATAGCATCAGGATTGACCTTCGTTTCGCAAGCTGTTCTCTTCCTCTCGATTGGGAGTTTGGCAGATTTCGGTAATTGGAATCCATGGGTTGTTAGATTGTTTTCCCTTCTTTCATTCGCCTTTGAATTCGGGTTCTTGGGAGTACAATATGCACATCAATGGAGAATCGCCATGGCTCTTTACATTATCAGCAGTAAGTTTCCAATTGGATCACAGAAATACACCGTGTCTAACATCACATCCAGGTGTTACTTGGTGGTCTTCCTATGTTTTCTTCAACGCGATATTTCCCAAACTTGCCCACGACCTTCCCGAAGTTCATAAGGCGAGAGAAGATTATGCACAAGGCACATTGACAGAACAAGGATACGAAGACAAGTGCTCAATGGCAAGATCCAAGGTTATGAATATAAGTTATGGGTGGAATAATGTGGGATTCACAATTTGTGGAGCTTTAGCATTAGCAACCTTAGCAGGAATCGGTGCGAATGATTCCACACAACAAAACAATTGGGGATACTCTGTATCTGTCGCTGTCACTACTGGATGGTGGATTATTCTTGCCATTCCATGGTTCATCTGGGAAAAGAAGCGACCGGGACCACCTCTACCAAAGGGTGACAACTATCTTACCTTTGGTTTCAAGCAAACCTATTTCGCCGGAAAGCAGGTATGGAAGTTGAGACAAACTTTCTACTACTTGATTGCATTCTTCTTATTGGCAGATGGAGTCGCTACATTACTTACACTCGTCTCAATCGCGCAAACGCAAGTTGTTCAATTCTCCGCGACACAAAATACCTATCTCATCATGGTTCAAGGTGGCTCAACTACAGTCGGAGTCTTCGGTGCCTATTATCTTCAAGAAACACTCAAGATCCGTACTAAGACCATGCTACAATTTTGCAATTGTGGTTGTGTACTCATTGCGCTTTGGGGAATGATAGGTTTGTGGACTACCAAGTTTGGTTTCCATAACGAATGGGAGTTTTGGCTCTTTCAAGCACAATATGGAATTACCCTTGGTGCTCAATTTCCATATGGACAAGCATTCATGGCAGAATTAGTACCCAAAGGTAGAGAATATTTGTTCTTCAGTCTTTTAGGTATTGTCTCCAAGGGATCAGCATGGATTGGACCTATTGTTTCAAGTGCTATTGTTGATCGCAATGGCAGTCAATGGGCAGCATTTCCTTTCGTGGCAGCATTGATATTTGTTCCTACGGTTGCAATCTTTTGGATCAGTGAGACGAAGAGTAGAGTTGAATGTGCAGAGTATTTAGAAAGGGAGAGGACGGACTTACAAAAGATTAGAGATAATGATTTGAACACAGGCAGATCTGATTCTACGGAGAGTAGTAGAGGATTGGATAAGTCGACATAAATGGGCATATGGTTCAGGGTTATGATGATGATTTCTACATGTTAACGCATTTCTACAGAGTACTTACTTTTATTTAAAGATATAGTTTAGATTTTAATTTGATTTACGTACATGTCTAGAATGACAATCTTCTGATTCACCAAACATGAACATGAATATATACCGGTACATGAACATACTACAAGGTTTAGGGTATAAGGATTCGAATCCTACACCTACCTGACCCATCAATCCATGAACGAAATCCCCCATCTTCAACCTTCCATAGATTTCTAGATCTTCCTGCGGGCCTCCTTTCCTCCATTCCGGCATATAAAACTTCTCGATTCAGACTCTTGCAGGTAGAAATGCCGCAAGCTATTCCCAACCATCTCAAGCTAAAGGAATTTTCACAGGGTTTGATCACCCCGCACTAATTTGAAATATTGAAGAGTGAACCAATTATCGTAAAGTAATTCTTGGATCGATGAAACTATAATGTTGGAGAAAGGTATAGTTGACCCGTCAGGAGTTTAGAAAGCAAGTTGGAACCCACATGATCAATATCAAAGTCAAAGATTATTGAGTCTATGACGAAGGATCAGAGATCTTGATGGCTCTAGATGTTTATCTTTCAAGATTTTGAATTTAGGAAGTTGTTGTAGCGGTAGATCTGGAAGAGATGAAGAGATGGAGCAATCAATGAAGGGGTTCATTACAATTAGACGAATTTCCCACAAAACCCCACGTCGCACAAATCCAATCAATGATTACCTAGTAATCTCTTTTTCAAATTTTCATATAGATTATAATTTACTAGGGATTATACGGGGTACTCCTTTTTTTGATTCTTTTTCAGCTTCGTACGGATGGATGTCCAAACATTGAAATATTGAGTGTTATTTATTGTCAGGATCGGACTTGGCCAATGAAAAGTATCGAAAGCTTCAAAAGTGGCTCTGTCGTATACATTCTAATCTTCTTCAAGTAAAGCTTAAGCGCCAGGTTGTTCACACCTGGTTAATAGATCGACAGGCCATCACAAAACTGCAACCTCAAGAAAGTGGACTTTACTCGAGAGTCACTACACTGTGTTCGTGTTGCATTGACTCTTTTTTGCTTTTACAAATCAACTACTCAGTACACATTCGATATCGGAAAACGTCGACAACTTCAACGTTTTATATCCTCTGTCCACCCAACACTACAGCCATCCCTTCCTTGATATGTACAAAGGGAAAACGAATTTGAATGCCTCTAATACCAAAGTAAATATGGCTCCGGGAATGGGGATTAAAGCCCCTGTACCTCGAACAAGAACAGGTCCGTTCACGTTCCTTTTACACATCAATCATCAATCTCATCCATATGGCAATGGGCATATGGCTTCTGACTTCAATTCTGACGCGTTCAAGGTTGCTTAACATGTCGAGCAAGGAAAGTGAAATGTGATGAGGGGAAACCAGACTGTGGTCGCTGTATTCGCCTTCAACGCGATTGTAAATGGAGTACACCTCCAGCTCACATGCTCGCCACGACATCTCATGGTCATGGAATCTCCAGTACCAGTTCACTGCCCACCACTCAACAGCTTGCGCTTGGTAAAACACGTATTCCCAAAGATTCGTTCGTTATTGAATTCCCTAATATTGACAAAACGACTATGCCCTATATTCATCATTTTGTGGGGTTTTGCACCAGATTCTTGGCATATGCAAATGATGATGAAGGGAATCCTTTCAAAGAGGAATTGGTACCATTTGTAACGACCAGCCCGGCTCTATTACATAGTATTATCGCGGTGGCAGCAGGCCATATGAGTAGGACTGACAAGCAGCATGAGGTTAAGGCTACCAAACATTATTCCATGGCTTTGAGAGAACTTAACACGGCATTATGTGACAATTCAGTTGCGAAACAAAATGCCACACTGGGTGCTTGTCTTTTACTATGTGTTTATGAGGTAATTCCCTTTTTAGTTTACTTATATTATGAGACACGTGGCTTATATATGATAGATATCACATTCAGATAGAGGTTTATGGTTGGAGCATCTGAAGGGTGCGCGGGATCTCATCTTACATCGAGGAGGTCCTAAAACGTCGGATTTCCTCACAAGATTCTTTGCGTTACTTGATGTTTCTGGTTCTCTATGGGCAGGACAAGGTCCTCTATTACCTGGGAATTATTGGCTCGAAGATGCCCCGACACTATCAACAAGTCCAAAACAAATTGGCGATTCGCCCTCATCAGCAGAACCAGCTTTGAATTGGCCATATTATGACCCGGGCGGTGTTATGACTGGAGAGTTTCATGTGTTTATGATATTTATGGCCAAGTTATCTCGTCTATCCAGTCGTTCCCTTGTCGAAACATCAGTCGAAGAACAAATCATCATTAAACAAGAAGCCCTTGGAATCCAACATGAAGTTCAAATGTGGTGGCAAAATTGTCCGCCTATGCTCCGAGATCTTTCTAACGATTGGCGACGACAACCACGCGATACTAAGCTCACCGTCGCGGAAACTCTCGAAGCTGAAGCATTCTCTAGTACAAAAGCTTGCATGTACGGATGCATCCTTTTCATTCATCATATTATTAACCCAGTTGGTGAGGAACCACCATCTCCAGAAGTTTCAGAGGCAATCACACAGGTTCTAGATATTGCTGCCGAGACACCAGAGGGTTATGGATTGGAGATGGGTTTGTATTATGGGTTGTTTGCAGCGGGAGCAAGTATCTTTAATGATTGGGCGGTAGAGGATACTGTTAGGAAGAAGTTGAAGGCTGATACTAGGATTGCACTTTATGTAAGTTTTTTGTATTCTTTGTATGGGCATGATGGGAAAGATAATGGGAAATTCGGTTTCTGGATTAAAGCTAATCAAAATCATACAGCATGCTGATCGAGCCTTGGAATTACTTGAAATCCTTTGGAGAAGGCAACACCAATATGAACGCAAATTTGATTGGAGAGAAGTTCAACAACAAATGGGAATTCACATGTAAGTTTTGTCCTTGTCGATCACATTTCTTTTTCTTCACGAAGCTTTATTGACAGTATTGTAGATTTATTCTTGCTTGAAGATATTACTTTTTCAGGTGTATAAATCTTGAAGACAGCCCCACCAGCAAAATTCGAAACTCGCAACAAAATTGTGCGAGTTACGGAAGGACCGGAGTTCGCCACCAAACGGAGGGGTAAAATGGTCCGGCTTTCTTCGGGTACGCAATAGAAATGACTAAAGTCATGGATATTCCATTGGTGTGAAAATCATGCAGATACGCAGGGACTTGAGTGGGAATGAATCATGCCGGTAATCGGATCATCCAAATGAACTCTTGGGGTATTTGATAGGTTTCACCTTCCTTCGATTTCCACACCATTCTATCAATCAAGGATAAAATCCCGAATTCACGAATTTTTGATCGAATTCAAGGGTATAGGTCAAGGATTGCGGAGAAATAGATAGGACGCCACAGCCGGGTTTTGGAAAGATGGACAGGAATGAGATCAAGGGTACCGATATTGGAGTCAAGAATGGCGGGACGAATAAGGCTACTATTCTACTTCTCGGTGGTACGGGAAAGGTCGCCCGTCGAATCGCTCCTCTCCTCTCTGACGATGGATACAACGTTCTTTTAGCATCTCGATCCGGATCGTCTCCAGTATCACTGCCAAACACTAAAGGAGTTAAGTTCGACTGGTTAGATACGAATAGTTATGATAATCCGTTTATCTCATCCGAGGGGGACGGCGACACGAAAGAAAATTCAATTGAAGCGGTTTTTATGATCGCTCCTCCTGTTCTCGATGCACTTCCTCTGGCTAAAAGGTTTATCGATGGAGTAATTAAGAGAGGAGTAAGAAGAATTGTATTTCTGAGTGGGAGTATACTACATTGTGGGGATGGACCAATTTTATCTCAGATATCTGAGTATATAAAAGGAAGAGGAAAGAAGTTTCAGACACTTAAAGAAGAATCGGAGAATTCCGACCCGAACGCAGTGGAATGGACGATATTGAAACCGAGTTGGTTTATGGAAAATTTCTCGGAAATGCACCATTTATACACCATCCGCGATGAAAATCGATTAATTTCAGCAACGGGTACAGGGAAAATCCCGTTTGTTAGTGTAGAAGATATCGCAAATGTGGCACGTAAAGCACTCATTGGGTGGAGAAGTGATGATTTTGAGAGGGGATTGATGGGGAAGGAATTGGTTTTGAGGGGAAGTGCATTGTGGTCTTATGATGATATTGCTGCGCTCTTGACGGAATTGTTGGGGAGGGAGATTAGTCATGTGGGTGTGGAGGAAGAGGAGATTGTCAAGGGGATGCTGGAGGGTGGGGTGGAGGAGGGGTTGGCGGGGGTTTTGGGGGAGCTTGATGGTGCGGTTAGGAGGGGGGAGGAGGCTTGGTTGGGGGGAGATTTGGAGGGGGTTATTGGGGGGAGGGGGAGAGTGTGAGGGAGTTTGTGGAGGGGTGTGTGAGGAGTGGAGTGTGGGGGTGGGGGGTGTAGGGAGTAGGGAATTGGGGGAGGGGGGATAGGAAGAGGGGAAGAGAAGGAATGGTGAGTGATTTGATATTGATCAAGTAGTAGTTGAGTTGTGCATCTAGATTTGCATTGAAATTTAGTGAAGAAAATAATAGGGAAGAGAAGGATATATTGTTTGTTGTATAAATGAATGAATAAATGAGCATATCGTATGTTATTTTTTCTGAAAACATATTCATTCCAGTCATCTACTTTTTCCATTTCCAGTCGAGTATACTATATCGCGGATCTTCAACTCAAGGCTTAACTTCCAGTGTGTTCTCCAATACCTTGTCTGAGCCACCCACTTTCCACCCATCATTCAACGCGGCCTCTTCCTGATCTCGAACTTGGTAACGAGGAATCGCTACTTGAGGATTCGCTCTCATCGTTTTCTCCCTCTTCGTTTTCCGCCAGGCCATTTTCGTCCTACGTTTAATTTTCTACATGAGACAAGATGAATCATCGCAAGAGAAAATACCACACAAGAGACATATCAATCATCAGCCGTAGACGGATCATACTCCCAATCATGTGGCTACCGCATCTTCCTTGATGAATGAATGAATGTGGGAGTGGGAGATATCTCGCGCTTCTCCATCTGGTACTCCGTGACAGCGTACCATACATAAACGATTCCTTGTCGTGTTTTCCTTCTTAACAAATCCACAGATTCTATGATAAATATATTAGATACACGATCCACATACGCTGCGAGAATAACATGCGAGATAAACAGGAGAGATGTGATATATGGGAAGCGTACATATATACATACTTATCAGCAGTACAGCTCACAGTTAATACTCGTGTACCGAAAATGATTCTCGTGCCGGATCTCGCACTTTGTCGTCTCTTTTTACATTTCGGGTTGTGTAGTCGAGTAGTATAGTATGTATGCATGCAGGATGACAGTCGGTCTTGAGATAGATGTCTTTCACATATCACGAGCGGGGGGATTTCTTTTCAATCCTGTGGTTTGGTGGTGTTGAAATTATGCTTCTGTATTTATGATTGGTTTAATGGTTGTCAAAGATGTTGAGTTTGTGTTGGTGGTTTGAAGAGGTGATTTGAACAGATGATTCTCGTGTGTTGTGGATATTTATGGGTTGCTAGTGGTTGAAAAGGCCAGTCATTCTGCAAGTAAAAAGTTGGAGAAAACACTGCACGTATAAGGACTTCTCCGAGTGAGATCAATAGTATTGGTATGTGAAAAAAAAAAAAGAATTGTGTCACTATTTACCTCAAAAGGATACCAGAGCTTCGCATTATTCGGCTGGGTGTGAGTGTTCTTGTAGTATAGGTATGGGTTACATATTGCTTCATCAGCAATCTTACTCACAGCAGCCAAAACCCATCAGCCACGATGCAATGCCAACCTGAAAGGAAACGTACACAAGACTGCCCCGAATATTCTGGATCGCTCGTGGAATTTTAGTCTAGTTTTATTTATTGTGATGGTAGAGAGAAACATTCTGTTATTTTAACAGTACAATACCATCTCAAAGCGACTTGCTAAGAACGGGTAACCTCATCATGAGTACGGCCAAGCCGCTATGCCAACTCTGCGAAAGGATTAATCCAAGTAGGATGCTTGCAAGCGAAGTCAATGAAATCATCGTTGGCTTTATTAGTGACTACAACAAAGGTCAAGACTGTTCATTCTGTGCGCTCATTTCTAGAGCGGCGTCTTTGGTCTGGAGAAACAACTCTAGCAAAGTGTCACGCTCGGTTATCAAAATAGCGTCACAACTGCTCATTTAGAGTTGGAGCTCTCTCGCACTCAAAGTAAATGTTTGCATGGAATATCTTGTACTATGGTTATTGTTGATAATTAGCCCAAAAACTTCAAGCCAGAGGAACAATCGGCCTCCTGTACGAGAGATTGACCGATGCGAAGACAGGTTCATTTTTGCGAGAATTGAACACTTACCCAACTTCGCTGATAGTTTCATCCGGCGACGTGCTATTCCGAGCTCTTTGGATGTTTCTTTAGTCCAAAAATGGTTATTGAATTGCAATGGCCATGAGCATTCAAATGTGCCACTAAGCAGGGCTAGCAACACACTTTTCCATGGGCAACACCCCTTCCGGTTGATTGATGTCGTAGAGGAATGTCTAACAAATCGGAATGAACGATGTGAATACACAGTATTATCTTACACATGCGGAAATTCAGACACTATTCTGAATGCGGAAAAGAATACTAAAGAAGCCTCAATTCTTGTCACAACCTAAACAAATCTAGACACACTTTACTGTCCACATGCTTTATCCTCACTGCGAATAGATAGGCATCAGGATGGGATTGTTCCTCGCACTTTCCGTGACGCAATGGAAACGACACGCAAGATTGGATTCGATACCTGTGGGTGGACACACTTTGCATTGTGCAAGATGACCCGGATGACAAATCACGACTAGTGAGCTCGATGGGCAACATCTACAATGGTTCTACACTCACCCTTATTGCAGCTGTAGGTGACAATCCGCATGCGGGACTGCGAGGAGTTAGTCACCGTCCTGAGAGTCCCATAGAACCTTACGAAATCATCAATCATGGCAAGTTATTGACGCTTTCTCTCTGCCTGCCATCCTTATGCGAGGAAGTCCGAAAGGGCAAGTGGTACACTCGTGTTTGGACATACCAGGAGCAGTGCTTGTCGCAGCGCTGTTTGTACTTTACCTCGAATGAACTTTTTTTCAATCCCCCGAAAGCCAGTGGAGGGAGGGATATGACTATATGGAGCAACTGCCCATCTCAAGACATTCAAGTCCGCACCGGGCCTCCATGGTGGAGTAAGAGACACAGAAAAGACCCCGATCCTACTCCCTATCGTTACCTAGGGGAAGTCAAAGGGCAGTTGCAAGCCGAAAGCTACATAATGACAGTCCAGGAATACAGTCAGAGAAACTTAACACATTCGAATGACGTGCTTGATGCCTTCGAAGGCATTTTTCATCGATTCAACAGGCCAAAGAATCTGTCTAACTTGAGCATTCATCAGACCCAAGGCATTCCAGCCGATGTTTTATCTCAAGCTTTATTGTGGTTTCCATCGAAAACCTGTCAGAAACGTGTAAGAACCACTCAGGCTAGGATGGCTGTAAAGCATTTCTCGACATGGTCATGGTACGTGATTATATATCCCTCCCAAGTAAAATCTCATCTAGTTCTATTCCCTTATTAATCGATGTCACTGTAGGGCTTCGTGGATTGGACCTATCGAATTTATATTTGCAGAGAGCCTTTGGCTATCACGAAGCATCTCTCAAGCCCCGCGCAAAGGTATTCCGCTCCATGTGTGTATTCCTCAATGGCAGGTTGGCAACTCGACAGAGAAAATCTGGCCGAGTTCTGCGTGGAAGAGCGCGGGCAAGTACTATCGCAGAAATTTGAGGCGCTTTCCTGATAGTTTCTCACCCACCCAACAGTTTCTGGGTAGTTGTATGGGAATTGATCTCTCCCGGTTACTCGATCAGTCATTCACAGCGCGCCGATCCACACTTGAATGCGGGCAACTTAGGTTTGTCGCACCATATTTGAGATCTCGAGAATTTGTTCTTTCTGATGGCACCAATCAATCGATCAAGGTGTTTATCCATATCTGCAACTCATCGCGGCGAGTTTCGGTTTGATGATAGGATGTTGATTGGGCCGATAAATGAATTGGTGATGGTATTATGTACCAATACTGTGACCAAGCCCCCCAGGGCACTGGGTGTCTTTCTTGGCCTCGCTACTTGTAAAGGGATCTCGCGCCGCGTTGGAATTGGATTTCTTAACCTTTCTGGAGACGCGAAAAGACCCAAGCCATCATGGGAATATAAATCATTTACCATACAATAAGGTGATCACATATACAAGAGCGGGTCAACGACAAAGCCATCTAATACTGGCGATATGAATGATTCATATCTGAAGGTCGCCGCTATTATTATAACGACTCTAGATTCTGTGAGATTCCTACTAAACGCTTTCTCTGAAAAATAGAATAAACCTTTCAGAAGAAATGTATTTGTATTGAAGTCTTGGGAACAAATAGGGGGAGATGGGGTATTGTTTAACAAATGAATAAATGAATGATACATTTGTTTTCCGAATATATGTTTGCATAGGTACTAGCATTTGTTCCCTAAGTCGTGGTCGTGGTCGTGTAAGTAAATAGGCTGATAGGCACTTCCTCCTTACAACACAAACATAAACAAGAATAACAACACCCCGGTTCTTTATTTGATATTCTGGAATCCGTAGACTTGAGATAAGGAGTTGAGAAGGATATCTTTATTTCTATTGCTTACTTACTTATTTGCTATCTTATTTGCTTACTATCTTAACGACTGTCAGTATGTATTTGTATTGTATTGTATGTAATCTTACACTCGTATATAAAATCGAGTATCAAAAGCAGGGTTGTAACTTCCTATCTGTAGATAGACAGACAATGGTGACAGACAGACCGGTTGACTCATAATGATTGATGAATAATGAATGGCTCTTGAGGTATTTCTTCACTTTTATATGTTGAGATTTCTTTTGTTTATTTTCCTTGATTTCTGCTACACTTCTATGTCATGTAATCGATGAGGTGTTGGAGTTGACAGTTTGTTAGATATCTGGATGGATGTGATGGATGGATGGATATTCAAGTGAATACTAGGCAGATGAATTGATATCATCTCTTCGGATTTCGGAATAGTTACCAGATAATGAGTTGAATGCCAAGTCTGCAGGCACATCATTATGATCACATCTATCCATCGTATTGTATTCCAATGCTTTATCATTCAAATTCCCGAGTTCATCAATTCTTGTTGGTTCAATATTCAAGATAGTGAGAATGCATTCAGCATTTCGGCCATTCCATTCCGTGGAAGAGCGATGTTGAGCGTGGATACCCGGGATTGTCAATATTCTAATCAGTGTTTCCAAGTTCCAAGTTCCAACAGCTTGCTGGCTTGCTGGCTTACACTCCCGAGGTCTGTCTGAATGAAGATGGATGTCGAGATAAGGAATTCAATTCGTATCGCCCATCGGAGGAGTTTCCTCATTCATCTAAACGATATCCTCGTGCTTACCTAGCTATGCATAGGCATATTCCTTCATCGGCAGGTCAGAACCTAAAAGATACATCACGAGTGCCTTTTGAATGGAAATGTTTTGATTGATTGAACGGCTTGGAAACATTACTCGTGCTTTTCAATGGAAGTCTTTTGATTGATTGGTTTCTGTTCGCTGCGAGATGTCTTACCATATCTTCAAACTCACTATCAGCTTTAGAAATAAGCGCCGGATAGCAATATGTTTCTTACCCAGCTTTTGGTATCAGAGAAATAAGCATAAGGCTTTCAGCCTTCGCCAACCTGGGTTACTGATTTGAGTTGATGATTCTGACCCTGTGGCCCGTATTGAATGTCACTACGCACATATCTTTACGCTTGGCAAATCAGTGCAACGTTATGATTTCTTTGGCTGCTAAGTGGCTCGCCTCCAAGAATTCTTGGAAGAAGCTTCGAAAGCTTCGCCTCGGGCTTGCAGATTGTACCTACTTGGGAGCTTGGGATGTGATCATGATTATCATTTTGATGTGGAGGGAGGGGAGAGAAACTGTGAGAATCGAAAGATCGAGATATGGGAGATATGGTATGGATGAACTCGGACTCGGATGAGGTTAAGGGATTCGGGTTCTCCACCTACTCCGTATTTCTTATCATGTATCAATAGCTTACATCTTACGCCTCTCTCTATCTCGTATCTCATCCATCATATAAGGTTATCAGTTCATATCTACTGGTATAACTTGGAAAGAAAAGACGAGGAGGCGATTTTACACTCTTTAGAGTATAGAGACACGTGCGTGGCATTTTATCTTGGGAATTCGAGTCTTGTTTGTACTTATGTATTTATTATTAGTTGCATTAAAAATGTTCACAAATAATCAAACACAATAAATAATAATAATATCCTCACAATCTCCCAATATTTCACCATATCTCGTTTTTTGCTTATCGTAATTGCAAAAAGGACCGAGGTGACGAGGATGGTACTCCCATCTCGGTCCAAAAACCCCCATCGGGTATCAATTTCGAACGCCTCTAACGCCATGAAATAATTCTATCCACTCATCGATCACGACATTCATGTTTAAATCTAGTGCTTCAATTGCTTATTATCCAATCCCTAGCTATCCCCGATGATTTGGGGGAAAGATAAAAGACAGACCCCGGATGGCTTTCCCGCCACCAAAATCAAACCACCTTACCATGATACCAAGAGGAGGGAAATGCTCGTTGGCTAGATCTAACGGCAATATTAAGTAAGACTGGATAGGTCTGAAAAGACGGGCGGCTCATTTGAATAGGTACATAAGCTTCTACCTGTACCTAGTATTGCCAAGTCGACTCGGTAAACAAATTAAACCTTTTTTTGGCAGGTGAAAAGAGCTGTAGGCAGTTCCATCATTCCAATTTCGTATGCCCAGTCTTCTCGGTCTCGCGTTCTTGACATAAGTCACATAACATCTTTTGCCAGCTTGTTATCCCGGGTGTCCAGGATAGAATTGTTCCTGTTCCAGTCCAGTGGTAGAGAGGTATTTGTGAGCCGAGTTCACCGTTCGCTGATACCCGGGCTCGCCGGGTTCCCCAAAAGCTTTGTTCGCCTCTGACCCTCTTCCTGTCTGGTTTACTGCTCGCGCGACTAATTTCTTATCGGATTCTCTGCTTGGCAACATTCTCAAACTCTTGGCGTAACGTTACCTTCCTAATGTGGAGTAAAGAGGAGATAATTATTTGTTGGTGGTAAATTCGCTTGACAAATGAGAATGATTTGGTTTAATGAATTTTGATAGAGATGAAGGACCACGGTTGAAGGTGGGTTTTGGGGGGTGATATTTGAGATTGGGGATATGATTGTATGATGAGGCTGGTAAGGTGGATATTGTGGAGGGGAAAGGCCTCGCAATTGTCTTTGTCACTCTTGTGGGTGCTGCAATTGAGGTGGTACTGGTGACTGGGCTGGTCTTTGGACGCACTAGGGTCATTACACTGTATGCACGACAGCTTTCCATAATCGGGTGAATACAGAACTATCCGTACACAATACACAAGTGTGCTACCGATTGACCTTGCTCTGACTCTATTTGCCACAGACAAGGAGGTAGCCTGGTCAATTCAGAACCTGGGGTCTGAGTTTATATCTTCTAGAACGATTTGATACCTGCTATGATTTGTTCCGTGCGTTCAATATCACTTACACACCTTCCTATCTAGGCGATCTCCGTAATGGATCAGCATTGGATTGAGTTCACAAAACACAATCGTGAGAGCTCGTACCAGCTGATAACGGTGCTGATTGGTATGGCGTTCCCGTATGGGAGGGAGGGATATGATCCCATGCTAGTTAGGAGTGCATGGGAGCAGCATGCGAGATTCTCCGAATTAGTTGAGGGCTAGGATGGTGAATGGGGAACATGGTGAATAAAGGTGGTGTAGCTTGGGATTCGATGGGCACGGCAGCGGTATATTTATTCTCGTGTTTCCCCTCCTCGTGGGCTCGTTCTTTAGTCGCACTTCTACGACCACTCTCTTTACCTGTTGTGATAAATCAACTTCGCAAAGATGGGTAAGTAATTTTTTCTACTCAATCATACCTGCTTGGTGATATTTCATACAGCTTACTGACATTCAAAAATAGTTGCCCAAGAAAATGTCACAGCCGATATCCAAGGCGCGATGCTAGGCAGTGATGCTGTCCTAGCTCTCGACCAAAAAGGATCGTTGATTCACACAGCCTCAAGAGAGCATCACCCTAAAGTCGGTCTCGAAACTGAAGCCGCAATAGTCCATGCAGATGGCCATGGACACGACCACATCGATCCAGAATTAATTCCTACTGAAGAGGAGAAGAAAACCCTCCGAAAAGTAGCTGGAAAACTCCCAACTATCACTTACTTAATCTGTGCTGTCGAGTTCGCTGAGCGAGCTTCTTACTAGTAGGTTTCCCCTCATTTTGAAATGACGTCTGCAATTTAAATTAGAAAAAGTCGCTAACATGTAATTCACTCATAGTGGTTGCCAAGGTTTGTTCAACAATTACGTCAACAGACCACTCCCAGTCGGTGGTAATGGTTATGGTGCACCACCAAGAGGAACTCAACAAACTGCCGGAGCTTTAGGTCTCGGTACCGTCAAAGCAACAGCCACATCTCAATCATTCTCCCTGCTTGCATATGCCCTTCCATTGTTCTTCGGATGGCTCGCCGATACCAAAACTGGTAGATTCAAGATTATTTGCTGGGGTGTAGCAGTATGCGGTCTTGCACACGTTCTCATGGTTGTAAGTGGTGCTCCTAGTTTGTTGGCCAACGGAACCGCCAAGGGTCCTTTCTTTTTGAGTGTTTA